AAGTTCAAGAGGGAAGACAATTTGCCTTAACAATGCAAACATAGCACTCAGGGTATACCTAATTTCCTTGACAAATTGTCATCAAGAGTCATCCTTAAAGGAATTCCATGATACCTTTTAGAGTCCCCTGACAAGAATGCAAATTTTATGGATGAAGCCCTTTCTTTTCTCCAGGTTGGTTGGCTCAATGCAATTCGAGAATGGCAAGAGGAGTTTGTTGGCAACATGAGTTCTAGAGAATTTGTAGATACCATCACCAGAGATCTCTTAGGTAGTCGAGTCTTCGTCTTTACCCCAAGGGGAGAGGTAATTCACATACCAAAATATGTGCTTTTATTTCTTCTAAAATGTTAACAAAAGTCTGAGGAGTAGTGTTTTGATAAATATTTTGTGAGGAACAGATTAAAAATTTGCCTAGAGGGGCTACTGCCATTGACTATGCCTACATGATACACACTGATATTGGAAACAAAATGGTGTCTGTGAAGGTATTTTTGTATTTTTATGGCACAAGTTTTCCAATTCCAGTGTCAGCCTAAACAAAAGGCACAAGTTTAATGCTTAACCTTCTAATTGCAGGTCAATGGTAATGTTGTTTCTCCCATGCATGTACTTGCCAATGCAGAAGTTGTGGAGATTATCACCTATAACGTTAGTATATATTGACCATTGCCCAATACTTTTCCATTTTGCTGAACTTATAATCACAGATGTTTCCTTGATAATGTTTAAATTGTGGGATAACAGTAATTTCCTATGCATGATAAAAATATATAATCTTTGTGGTTCTTTTTCTTTCAAAAATTTGAAATTAGCAGTCAGGACCACCAAATTCAGAGTATTGTTACATGATGTAGGTTATTGGAGCTATTATTGAAGAGGTTACGTGTATTTACTATTTTCTCAGTTGTGAAAGCATAGTAAGAGACTTAGGTTACTGGTTAAAATATTTAAAAATCAAGTTGTTGAGTAAGCTTATATGCATTCTCATTTTCCCACTATTCTAAGTTCACCAGGTTGCAGAATTGATATTATAGGTTATTCGTGCACAAACAATAACATTGTTTTTTTAATAGTTTACAACTTTGCCTCTTGTTCCAGGCGTTCTCAAACAAATCAGCTTTTCAAAGGCATAAACAGTGGTTGCAACATGCTAAAACACGTAGTGCCAAGCACAAAATTACGAAAGTAGGTGGAATTGCGTGGAGTTGAATTATATAAATTTTTATTCTCTCTTAATTGCCAATGCTCTGATTGTCTAAATTGCTACTGATAATTAGTTCTTGAGGGAGCAAGTTGTACCATCTACTCCAGAAATAACAACAGATAGAGTAAATGACTTCATTGCTGATTTTGAAGAGGAGAGTGAATTGGAAGAGCTCCCACATATTTCAGGACGGAGCAAACCTCTATGGGAGAAGATCCTGAGGAACGTTGTGGACTTCTCATCCCCAGGAAGTTGTGAAGATGCCTTGACTGCAAAAAATGGAAGTATTTGGGTCCCTAAGGTAAATGGGAAACATAACAAACATGTACAGCATGTGAGTTTGAAGCCCAATGGGGACTTGTTATCACTGGGAAATGGTGCTGCAAAAATGATACCCGTAAACATTCCACCACACAAGGTCTTGCCTGGTTTGGAAAGTTGGCAGGCCAGTAAAATTGCCTCATGGCACAATCATGAAGGACATTCTATCCAGTGGTTTTCTGTTGTTTCCATAGAACGAAGAGGTAAATCATTTGGTAATCATGATCATGATTAATTTGCACTTTCTTTTATAGGAGCTTTATATTATAACTGGCTTACAAATCCAAACCATTAGAGGAGGTAGGCAGTTATAGCATTGATGGGAAGATTAGGGAGGGATCCAATGAGACTACTGAATCATAGTCCTCTGGTTGACTTGTTTCCTTTTTTGGCCGACTGTCAAAGGAAATGTGGAGCATCCTATCAAGCTACTCCTGGGAGCATATCACCTGCCATCATTGCACTATAATTAATCAGTCGCATTCAAAATTATGCAGGGTCTATCAAAATTTATAAGTTGGTGGACTCCTACATAATTTTTTATTGTGATTGGATAATTGTAAGATTGTAGTAAAAAAATTGTAGGTGTAATGCTCCCCTGTTCCTGTAGGCATTAGTATTAGTCTTAGAGCCTTTTGTGAAGATTCTAAACAGAGCATTTAGATTTAGCATGCCATCTCTTTACAAACTTTTTAGTTACATCAAAAAATTTTCTTTTGGCTAAATGGTTTAATTTGCAAACATGATTTAGGAATGATGGCTGAGGTCACAACAGCATTGGCAACTGTAGGCATCACCATATGCTCCTGTGTGGTGAGCGATTTAAATTCATCTATCATGTAGTGGTTTATTTCTGACTAATGAGTGTTTGCTAGTTCCATAACATCTTGACTTTCTTTTTTCAGGCTGAGATTGATAGAGGAAGGGGAATGGCTGTCATGTTATTTCATGTTGAAGCCGACCTTGAAATTTTGGTACCGTGTTCAGATCTCTAATTTTAGTTTTATTTTCTTTCTTATATTCCTGTTACCTTGTTGTTTTATTTGCCCCATTGCGTCTGAATGTGTGCATGTACGAGAGAGAGTTTATCCTCTTTAAATTTCATGTGATGAATTACATACTGATGTAAGGAACTACTCTGTTCTTTCTCAGGTTAATGCTTGTTCAAGGGTCGATCTTATCCTGGGTGTTTTGGGATGGTCTATTGGTTGCAGCTGGCCAAGCTCAACGGAAAACAACTAGCTTCTTGAGTGCTAATTCAAATAATGGATCCAAGAAATCCAGCTAGTTGACCCAGCGGTGCGGTTGCAAGCGTGGGTATGAAGTTTTGTACCCCATACTGTTCTTATATTAAATTTTGCGATGGTAGTCCATAATATTCACATCTATTTGTTAAACGGTCCAAATAAAGCAGGAGCCAAGTAAGCTGGCTCTGGATATAGAAGAAAAAGAGAAAGGTTAGAGTTGAGTATACACCCAAAGTTACTTGTACGTACGAAAGCCATGGGTGAACACTTGTAAAAATTTCTTAAGTATTTCACATAAATAAACTATTTTTCCTCCTTATAGAAATTAATTAATTATCTTCCGTTGGTTGCCTCTTGTATTTTTAGTGATGCCTTAATAATTTGATTATCTATCTATAATATTTTGGAATGGGATCCTAGTTCTATCTATTTATCCATCTATTTTTTTCTATGCTAGTCGACGGTGATTTTGCCAGTGGAGGAACCGGCACTTTGGTCGATTCCGCTATACGCTTGTGGATCGTGACCATTCCTTTTTTTTCCCCTTTCAGTTACTGACACATCAATTTCTGCTGGCCATCTTTTAACATTACCCTGGCGAATGTCTGTCTTTTTGGTTCGGTGTCATGCCTAACATGAACTCTCCTGTCTTGATTGGTTCGGTGGTTCGTCTTGAATGCATAATGTCAAATTTTCATTTCAGTAAAAGACATTAATTATCAGCATAAAAGCTTTTAAAAAAGTGGGAGTAAGATCAAAAGGGTAATTTATTATTTATTTATTTCAACCTGGATAATTAACTAAAAATATTTTTTTCAAAAAAACGAAGAGAAACAAATTTTGGAATGAAAGGAATAGTTTATAGGAATAAATTTCTTGCAATTTCGTTAGTTTCTTGTTGCTAGACAATAATTTTAGCTTTTTTATAAACTCAACTTCGTGAAGGGCATAGCAAATTTATTAAGGTTCACGACTAATTCAGTTGAACGAAATGTACAGACTTGGTTTAATTTTTAGCACTTGTGCTGTCAGTGCTGAGTTCTTATTTCATAGGAAAAGCAAAGGAAACAGTGTTAGAGATATAATTAAGTAGGAGGAAGCAATTGGCAAGCAGTAGCAGCAATAAGACCAAACTTAACCAAAACCAAATATGCCGCTTTGCTGAACGTTCGTTTTCAGCATTCATCACGACGAGCTCCTGAGTTTCTTTCTTGTTCTCATCATTATTGCTGCCGCCTTCGTCAAACGTGTTAGCCAAGTAATGATATTCTTCTATCTTGGTTGTTGTGTCTTTCTCCTCGGATTTCTTTACCGATGTTGGATGGCTAATATTCATCTCTTTGGATTTAGGTGACAGGACTCTCATCATCTCTGCTGGCCAAATTGCCTCCATGTTAGAGTCTGTGGAAGAGCTCCATGTTTCTTCTGAGCTCTCTTCCTCCATCTCTGTAACATTTTCACCTTTCTCATCCTCTTCTTCTGTTGAAAATGATGATTGCAACGGTGAATTTTCTTCTGCTTCTTCTTCTTCTTCTTCTTCTTCTTCTTCTTCTTCTTCTTCTTCGTCTTCTCGTTCTGAAAATAATGATCCCATTGGTGAATATTCTTCTTCTTCTTCTTCCTCCTCCGTTGAAAATGACGATTGCATTGGTGAATATTCTTCTTCATCTTCATCTTCTTCTTCCGTTGAAAATGACGATCGCATAGGCGAATATTCTTCTTCTTCATTTTCTTCTTCTGTTGAAAATGATGATTGCATGAGTGAATATTCTTCTTCATCTTCTTCATCTTCTTCCCCCGTTGAAAATGATGGTTTCTTTTCTTCTATTGATGACACTGATGATTGCACTGTTGACTTTTCTTCAGCTGTCGACTGCTCTGCATCTGCATCGACTGCCTCAACCTCTATCTCTATTTCAATAGTTTCCATCAGCAAAGAGTCATTACCCTCATTCTCGACCACGTTCATTGATTTATGATCACTTGCCAGTCGTGAAATCTCTCCAATATCACCATAATCACCAGTCATTACGATGCTTTCTTGCTTTGTATCATGGACTGGAATCTCTTGGAGACCACTTACAGAATCCCTTCTTTCGCACTGCATCATCGTATTCTCTTCCTGAATAAAACACGGAAAGCTATAAAGAACCTAAAAAGTTACGACCATTCAGAGTTGCACGTGCTTTGGTTCAGATTATATATGAATTAAAAGAACATATTACTTATGACTTAATATAAAAATTAAAAAAAAAAGTTGCAAACGCAGCAATGGAATGGGGTCTTGTTACCGAGGTGATCAAACTTTGGATCGAGACCAATTCGCATGCTTCGATTTGGGTGATACCAATCTCTGATGTTCCATGGTTTGTGCAACTGCAAATAAATGACCCTCCAAATCACGTTATTTACATAAAAGAAACATGCAAATAGCGGTCTAATGAAATCGCACATGCAAATGTTTCTATCATCATAGAATGAAGAGCTTCGAATGAAGAACTTGGGCTCTAATTATCCCATGAACATACCAGTAATTCCATAAAATTCCAATTCAAAGGTCGAATTTTATGATATGAATACAAACCATGAATTTTGATGTAGAGTTGAAGAGGAATCCTCCTGAAGGATAAAAGATAGCCCTTCAGTTTCATGTTCTTCCTTCCTGCAAGAGTCGATAGCTGCCAAATTCGTTGTATCCTTATTGCCATCTTTCCTACTGCCTTTCTTGATCGTAAAAGCTACCAGGCTTGCAATAGCCAAGGCTCCACCCCACACAACGACCCCTTCTATACCGCTACCACCGGATTTATTACTCATGCCTAGCAGAACTTTCTTTGTCCCCTGTCGACAACTCCTCTTGTGCTGCTCCATATTTTTTCTTGGAGTTGGTTTAAATATTTCTTCTTTTGTGTTATTGTTCTGTCTGGTTCTGGGCTTTAACCAATAGCAAAGGGATTCTATTCTTGAAGAGAGAGAGCGGGTGAGGGTATTGACCTTGGAAGGAGTGAAGTATCAAAATCGGAGCTTGAAGCGGACATTTCTTTGGGCAGAGTCTTGCTTGGCAATTCCGCATCTTAATTTGCTTCAAACCCGTTCCACTCTTGAGATTCCGTTATTTTCACCTTCCAAACCGATACGTAACCATAGCCACTAGAGAAATCAAGTCATTATATCGAAAAAAAAAAAAAAAGGAACAGCCGTTGTTACAACAATGCAGTAGAGATTAATTTTTCCCAAGTGATATTTTGTGTGATCAACTGAATCCTAATCCTAGTTTTGGGGGAAATGGGTTAATTAGTTATTTACACATATTATAAGTATACACTTAAAAAAATTTTTAAATCCATTACTACTTTCCATCATATAATTTTTAAATTAATTACTAGCAATAGTGTTTATCTAAAATTTTCAAAATTTTAACACAAAGACCCAATAAAAAAGTTTGCAGACCGAAGCAGCGTATAGTTTTGGGGACTACTTGGAAAAGTAACCGGAGTAATTGACTTGGATTTAAATATATTTTCTACAATCCAAATAAGAATAATTGTAAAGCAAATTGCTCAGCAAAGCCAGCAAATTATTCAATTTTGTCATTGATAGAACCCCAACTCCCAAAAGAACTAAATTTGACAAAAAAGTTTTTTTTTTTTTCTGTTTGAATAATATGTATCAATTGTTTAAATACCTATCAGAGATTGATTTAGCGTCTTGCTGCGGAATGAAAAAAAAAAATGCAACAGTGAATAACTTCATGTTCTTGTCATGGAGGAGACGGTTAGAGGCTCAGGCAAGAGGAGCACCAGAAATCCCTTCGTTGACATCGCAGGCCTGAGAGAGAGAGAGAGAGTTTTAGGAAAGCCTTGCATTCTTTAAGCAATGAAATAGCGTTTGGCATCCGTTGCACAACTCAAGATTGAGAAAGACTGTTTCGTACCTATACTCATCCTCACCCTCACATGTTATCCTCGCCGCAGCTCTTATACCCATGAAAGAAATATCCATATATAAATATATGCAAAAACATTAACAATTTTTTTAATACTATACAAGACAATATTACCTTGTCATATTTTTACATCATTTTAATTTCAAATGTAAAATTATTTTAAAGATTGCAATGATAAAGATTACGTAATTCATATTAAGTGTATTTGTGGGTATAGTTTGAAGAAATTGTAACATGTTTTACCGTGAATGTGAGCGGCAACTAAAATGTCTATTAATTTTAGTTTTACCAATTTATCTTAAGTACGTTGTTAAATCAATGTCATTAATTCTAATTAGGTATAGAATTTTAGCTGGGGAGGGGGGAATTACCTTCAAGCGGGGTGAGTTTGCTGCCTCATCTGCAATAAACAAGCCCTTGAATACCCATCATTCAAGATTGGTTTTGTGAAGGTTGGAATTAGGGGTATATTCATCATCACTAGTCAAAGGAGAAGCCGAAAACGACGAAAGAAGCATAAAGGTGAGAAAGAGGAAATTCTTGAGAGCCATTTTCATGTCCTGATCGAGCGGAGAGAAGGATTATTGAATTGATAATTTACTTGGCGGACTATAGGAGTATATACATATACATATATATATATATATAATAGGTTGGGATGGGACAATATTAGATATGCACTTTTTTTAATAAATAATTGCATTGCATTAAGATATAAATAAATATCTTAATGGATAGTAGGAGAAGACTTGGCTGCACGATGGAGAGAGCATCGGCATGGCACCAAATAATCGACCATGCATGCATCAAAAAAGGCTCAAAACTAATCCAATTGCGACGTGCAAAGCCAGCCAATAATTCGGTATAGAAATTATACTATATACTATACTAGACTGAATATACTTTTAATTTTTTTCCTGGTTCGTTAATTTTAGTCAATGTTATGATATAATGGGTCTCAATTAGGAAAATTTTACTTGACTAAATATGATATTAATATCTCACATGTTTGTTTAAGTTTGATCAATTTGACAATTTGGATCTTTAATTATGTTCATGATAATCTAAATTCATAAATGATGCAATATCCATGTTAGTTTTAATAGCTTTATTTTTCTGAAAAAAATAAAAATAATCATATTTGTATTTAATGATTTGTACTTTTGCCCTTTTTTTTATTAAGTTTTAAAATATAGATAATTTAATATATTTTTTAATATTTACACTATAATATTATATATTTATTTTTATATAATATAACTTATATATAAAAACATATTTGTTATATAATTCAAATCAAAATAAACTTAAAATTTGAATGTTGTAGTCAAGACCCGATTGATTTTTTTCCAACCCGATTAATGAGGGATATTTATGTTCAAACCTTTCCGACCTTCCAAATATTTGTTGATGTGGGACCTGTCCTTCAACAAGTCCCAAAGCACGTATTTGTTGATGAGGGTAAGAGAATGAAGGGCTTCCTGGATTAAATTAGGAGGTAATCAGAGGTCTGATCAACTGCATTTATGGTCAAAACAAATTTTGAAACAAGTATCAGTCCAAGCAGTAATGGAGAATTTCAGAAATTATCTATAAATAAATTAAACTACATCATTTGAATCGTATACCCTTGTTAACCAAGCAGAAGGTTATTACATTTGCTATACACAAATGGAAGAGAATACAATAAAACCACCTCCATACCAATAATTATCATAATCAACCACAATTCCCTTGTGGAAACCTAAAATGAACATTGAAAAAAATATTTGAAAGGGAAAAACCATGTGCAGCTCTTTAGAAGGATAAATTTTAGTACTAATAGCCATTAGGAAGTGACTCTGATGTGTAAAAGAAAGGTCCAACCCAGTACAACTTCATTTCCCTTTGCTTTAGGACACGATAAGAGCTAAGGAGAGCACCTCGGATCCCCTTGTTGACATCTGTTGGAACATTGCAAGTCTCTAATGAAGAGTTTTCCAGGAATGCTTTGCGTTGCGAAACCTTCAACTCATCATTCATCTCAGGAGTCAAGGTTCGAAAGAAATAACCATTTTCATCAGTTGCATCAATCAAGAAGGAGAAGGATGCTGTCTCGTAACCATTCTCGTCAACAACTAGACAAGTTATCCTTCCAATAGCTCTTAAAACACGAAAATTAAAAAAGAAAAATCAGTCTCAGCTGCAAATTAAACTACAGTGATGCCTTTAAATGTAAAAAGAAAGCGATTTCAGACTGTAGATATTGAAACAATGGATGTAGAGGTCACCTTGAATCGGCACAGATGAAGTGCCTGATTTACATAGAATATGCCCTTCAACGCCAATAGGCAGTGGCTTCTGGTTTGCCTCAGGCCTTGAATTGCCAAGTTCTGGCTCTGAGCCTTGACTATAATCAATAGAAGAGACAATGTCAAGTGATGAAAAAGTAGCAGAGTGGCTGCAAAGAAGAAACGGGTGAGAACCATGTCTCAATGATAGGAAGTTGCAAACTGAGAAATATGTGAGAGTATGATTTAAGGCTTAATTACTACCTAGCCTTTATAGAGACAAAAATCCCAATTATATTATACATAGAACAGACAACACCAAATGGAGATTGACTTGGTTGCATGACAGAAAAAGAAATATAAGCAATCTGGTGGCACAAACTGGACGTGAACATCAACAACATGATATGAAAATCCACAGCCAATAGGGCAAAAAGGCATAAGAGTTCTTGCTATAGATTCTCATTGTTGGAAGATTCTCTGTTCTTCGGCAAAGTTTAAAATTATTAATTATTTATCATTCTGAACAATTAGTTGACAGATTTTACATATCTTTCTGAAGTTCGTTAAAAATAGACAACTCCATATGCAAACAAGGAAAAAGTACAAAGCCCTGTTCTTCCTGTTCCTGTTATACATCTGATGTGGGGAATAAAATTACATAGCGGGGAATATTTTAATTTTTCCTCATTCCTCAAGCATTATAATTGGTTAGATTAATGGATTTTACTAATCCTCGTATGCCCTGAGCTCTATAATTAGATGAATTAAAAGACAGGAAAATTAGAATCAACTCATTCAATCAGGGATTTTATATATAGTATATATAGATGCATCACTTTTCTTTTTGTCAACATGTTCAATTTTAGAGTAGTGAACATAAAACATGTTTCGACAACGTGGGCTCGGTAATGAAGCCTACCAAAGAACCCATTGGGTTACAGCTAAATGGCTATATTTCTAACTAATTATGACCCAATTGAGCCCAAAATATTTAAGTTGGCCCCAATTTCAACAAATGTCTTTTTTAGCCTTTTTACTAAATTTTTTACTTTTTTTTGTCGGGTTCTGCGTAGCAATCTTAGCAGGATTGGTAACTCAATCTGTTTCCGATGAGTTCTGATGTAATCTGATTTTATATGATTTTTTTTTAAATTGAGTATTGGGTCGAGTTAGATTCGATAATAATAAAAAAAAATGAGATCAAAGTTTAGGTTAATTTATTTCTATATATATAATTATTTTTTAATTTTTTATTTATATATATTTTATATATTTATTTAATTTTATATTTATATTAAAAAAATTTATATTTAAAAATAATATTTTATTAATTTCAGATCAAATCAAATTCGGATTCAAGTATGAAAAAATAAAAAAATTTTCGCGTTAAATTTAGTTTGAACTTTATAGATATGAAGTTGAGTGGAGTTCGAGACGAAAAAAAATTTATCAACTTGATTCGTTGTCATCTTTAATCTTTAAAACTGTGCAAAACATTAGGTTGATTTTGGAGTACATACATAGCAAGAGATTAATCTTTCTCATTCTTTATCCAAACTCAAAATTAAGACTAATTTTCTTAAAGATAATAAAGGGAACAAATACGGATGGTGAGTAGAGTTGATAAAATAAGTCTCTTTTTTATTCATTTGAGAGTTTAAAAGATATAGCAAATAAACAACTTAGCTATGTACTATGATTATTATAACTCTATCTGAAAATCAAATTTAAAAAATAAAAAGTGGGTCATAGCACAAGCTTAAATATTGTTAAAAGAGAAAACTTCACTCTTAATTTTTTTTTTCCGTTTCGAAAATATATATATATATATGTACCTCCAAACCTTCTACTTATAATATTCATCTTAGCTTATTAGAATAAAAATTTAAATGGGCTAAAGTGGAAGTCGAAAAACTTCAAATTCATTTCACCTTAGATTTGGTTTCACTCCATTATACTATTTTTTTTAATATAATAATTATTACTATTGACACTAGGAGGACTTAATTAATTGTTAAAGTAGATATTATCTATAAACTTGAAGTATAGATAAATTGATTTATATAATTATTTTTAAAAAATTATATTTAACAATTTTAAAATTCAAATTTTAACATTTTTCGTATCCTTAAATTGTGGCATTTTATATATAAAAAAAATAATGATATTACACATATGTTAAATCCTAAATTTTTTATGATTTATGTATACATATGTTCTTTCTATCTTATATCAAATTAAATTCATCACGTGATAATTATATTTAATAGAATGTTATCTAATAGTTGTCGATTAATTTTAAGTTGAATATTTAAGATTAATAATTATAATCTTTAATTTGGGTAACTAATAAAAATTTAGGTAAAATTTGAAAAGTGAAATAGAAAAAAAAAAAAAAGATATTAGAAGAGAACGTAATTTTTACAAATTGAAGAGAGAATGTAAAGCTATGATTCAGATTAGTCATCCAAAATTCGAAAAGCCACCGTCAGCAAGCTGACATGCCCCGCAGTCAACTATGATTCTTACGCCCACGAATTTGATTAACAATGTTCTTATGGGTTTACTTTTCCATCAACTACTTGGTCTAATGGTTATGAAATTTGAATTAGCTATTTGTTTAAGCATTCTTTATTGTTATTTCAAGATCGACCTTCCTCGCTTTGATCTCCAATTAGTGGACTAACCAATATTTGCCAAATTAATTGACTTCACTGCCTACCTAATTTTTTTTATTAATTGCCACTTGTGTATTAACTGTATACTACTACTTTATCTATTAAATTACTACAATGGTTTGAGTTTCCTCATTTATTTAAAAATTTTTACACAAAAATAGTAATACAAGAATAAAAGATGGAATTATAAATGTAAAATTATTTAAATTTAATTTTATTAAATGTAATTTTTCAAATATTATTTAATAAATTAATCTGACTAATTTTCGATGCATATATCCAAAATTTTCAATGATTAAAGATATTGCAGTTGCACTGTTTATTTTTATGCCTCATTCAATAATTAAGATATAGAGATCAAAATGGAGTTTTCCGTCGGTGCCTTCCACACACTTTCTTAAAGGAAAATTTTGTAACTTCGAATAGGTTCAAGATGAAAATGACTGTCCTATTAATAAATCTGAAAAAGATAAAAAATAAACAAGTGAAAGAAGAAACCTTCAAATTCGTTTTGTTTTCTTCTATCAATTAAGAGTTGAAGTAAGTCATTTATTCTTGGCAAAAAAAAAATGTCATTTATTACAGTTGAATATTTAATTTACTGGTGTGTATATAAATATTTTTCAACCCTTATTTTGATGGAAAAAAAAATTATCATCTTCCTAAATTGAAATTTCTTGTATTCCGCCACATTCTCTTGAAAGTAACTATTTTAATACTCAATGAAAACTGTCTCTTTTACTTCTTTCATTTTTCTTGTTGGTTTTGCTTTTAAGACAAAACATGATATATTCATGGTGAAAAAACAAACAACAAAAAGGTGATTCCTAATTCATATAAGTTTGTAAAATTTTGCACATAAATGATTCGTCCAACTTGAACAGTACACAAAATATTCAATGGGCTCTAGTGTAGTTTGCTTGGTCAGAGCAAGTGCAAGATAATCTTCTCAAATCTTTTGAAAGATGGCCATCACTTTAAGCTGGCTTGGTAAAGATTATAAAAGTTACTACTTGATTTCTCACCAAAAGCCTACAGTTTCGAGGATTAATTTTGGTTATTAAATTTAATCAAACTTCCATTTCTTTATGTTTGCATAATTGCAACTCGTAGTAAAAGTCATAATACCATTCCAGCCTTCCAATAATTTCCAATCTTAGTTCCCTCGTTTTATACTTGTTCCAATCAAAAATCAAAGCGAATTCTTTAGACTTGCCGGCCAAGCGACGCTAGACCGGGAACGTGCCAGCCGAAAAAAAGGAAATATCCTCTTAATGATAATTCATATAAAGGAGATAAATTAAAATTTACTGTAAATCAAGCAGGCAACTCAGACGAAAGTTCCAATTCCCAACTTGCATTTACTGTCGCTCGCCGCCTTTCTTTGCCTCTCACTCACTACTTAAACCCATGCTCTTTTCCTCTCCTTTCATTCTTCACTTGTCAATTTCTTTTTATATCAAACCATTCTTTTGTTTTTTCAAAACCCTTAAACCCTTGTTTCTTTTTACATCTTCTTCATTATTACATTTGTAGCTCAAATACCGTTAGCAATAGTTTCTTAATTATCTTCTATTAAGAAATGTGTGGCGGTGATATCACTGCTGATTTCATCCTCTGCAACCGTGGCAGCAGTGTCACCGCCTCTGACCTCTGGCCTAACTCACTCTTATCTCAAACCAATGGTTTTAAGTCCGAGCTATGTCAACTTGGCCATAATGACTCGCTCTCCCACTTCAAAAGATCACAACCCGAACCTTCCTTAGGTGCCGTTCTCCTTCTGCGTGTGTATCTTTTCAGTCTTTTTCTTCTTTCATTTTCTTTTGTGTTCTAACTGTGGAATTTGTTAACAGGTGAAGAGCAAGTGGATAAGAAACCAAAGAGGCAGAGGAAAAATCTTTACAGGGGCATAAGGCAACGCCCCTGGGGCAAATGGGCAGCAGAGATTCGTGACCCCAGGAAAGGTGTTCGTGTTTGGCTCGGCACTTTCAACACTGCTGAAGAAGCAGCCCGAGCTTATGACAGAGAGGCTCGCAAAATCCGGGGTAAAAAGGCTAAAGTTAATTTCCCCAATGAAGATGACGCCTTCTCCGTCGAATATAACCTGGATCATTTTGGCAATCACCAAATTAATAACCATAACTCAGTGGCTACTTGGAATCCCAACCCCAATTCAAACCTATCAGTTTATCCACAGCCCTGCAAGAACAATTTAGATAACTACGGATTTGGTTATGACCTGAACCAGATTGGCGGATATGCTACTGACCCAATTGTTATATCTGGAGAGAAAAATTCAGTGTCAGGTTCAGAAGAGGCATACTCTTGTGATCCAAATGTCAACAATGGTCGTTTCTACGGCCCAGTAAAGGTTGAAGAAGAAGAAAAAGATAAGCGAGACGTGATACTGAACAGGGCTGTGGTGCAAGTTCAAGAAGAAAACCAAGTACAGAAGTTGTCTGAGGAACTGATGGCTTATGAGAATTACATGAAGTTTTATCAGATTCCATATTTGGATGGGCAATCAATGACACAAATTGTTGCTGTTCCGCAGGAGAGTGTTGTCGGCGAGTTTTGGAGCTTTGATGATAGTGGTGTTCCTGTTCCTGTTACTTCAACGGCTATGTAACGCGTTTCTTCTTATTCTCTTTTTCCTTGTTTTCTTTTATTTTATTGAACTTTTCGATCTTTATGTAAAAAAGGGTTGTAATTGATGATTATTTATTTATTTGTCGCTTTTTTTATGATGTTTATTTTGTTAAATTATGATACACTATTGTTTGCAGTTTATACCACTACTCATTAAACTCCTTTACTTTATTGGTAAAAAAATTTTCCTTCATTTTACTCTTTTGTTTTATGAAATTATTTTAATCATTTGTTGCCAAAATCAGCCGTCAAGTTGGGCTCAGTACGGCCATGCTTCCCTGCTTGCTAGGTTATTTTTTATTAATTAAAATAACAAAAAATTTCTTAAATTTTATTACTTTATTTAAATAAATTTTTATTTTTTTTAACATCCAAATAGATTTTTAATTTTTAATTTATATGTAAATATATTTTTAATTTTTAATTTCTATTAAAATAAAATTTTAACATTTAATTTGGATATAAATAAACGTTTAACATGATTTTTTTTTGTTTGAAATTAAATACAAATAAAAATAATAATTTATTCGAATAAGACTTATTTAAAATAAATGACATGATTTAGAGACGGCTGATAGCTATTGGCATATATAACTATGGTCATTGGCAGAAGCAATGACAAGCAGTGAACAAAGAAGCAAGAAGGTAGCCAACAAGGGACGGCTGATAGCCATGATTCCAACTCTAACTGTGTATGTAATACTGTAAGCACTAAGAACAAAGAGAAGAAATATGATTGGATGAAGTGATGAATAATATTTTTTTTAAAGTAGATTCCATTAAAGTTGAGGGTCGGTCTTTGGCATTTTCAATTTTTTTTTTTAATTTTCCTTAAATTTTGGTATCCTATGTACAAAAAAAAAAAATCAATATTCAGTGATCATATATATATTGTACAACATTAATCGTCCTTGTTCACATGGTATAATTATTTTGAGTTAATTTCTACATTTAAATGTGAAAATGTTGCGAGCTAGCTCGTCAACAAGTATTTTCAATCTTGTAAAAAATAATTCTCTTTTCATTTTTTCCCTTCCTATGCGTACCAACGTGATTTCTACCTACACGAGTTACTCATTCTCTTAATACTAAAAAATTTTTTTTAACCCTTTTACATATGAACATCTTCATGCACTTTTACTAGGTATGTAAACCAGCCAGGCAACTCTATTTGAATTCGACTTTTCTCAACTTTATTTTCTAAATAAGAAAATTAAATAAAGACTCATATAACTTGTCAAACTCAAATCTAAACATAATTATAGATCTCATACTAATAAACTATATATAATAAGTTATATATATTTGATACAAAAGAGATAAATAATTAGAGAGAATTGAAAAAGAAAAAGTCCCAAGTGTTGGGAATGATTGGAATCCATTTTTTAAGATAAGTAAATCATTTGAATTAAATTTAAATTAATTTATTTTATATATTTATATATATATATATAGACGGCATTAATATTTAATTCTTTATGCAATAATTTATAGCTGGCAGTTAAGTATTAAAAATTTATTTCATTATATATAGTTTTGAAATAAATATTACATTATTTCCATAAATAAATATACATTTTTCTCATCCAATTGAGTTTAAATACATTATCATCCATCGAATTTAATTTTGAATTTAAACTATTTGACATTTTTATTAGGGCTGGGCAATGTATTCATACTCAAAATGAATATGTGACTAATTAGTAAGTTAAATTTTTTTAATCAAAAGTTGATTATTCCGTTATATATTTCCAACCTATAATGAGAATTATACAATAAATTAATTTGAGATAAAGGAATTATAAATTTGACAATCATTCGTATCAGCGGTCCAAAATTGAGAGCCAACATCACCTGGCGTACGTGACCAGCGAGTCAACTATCGTCGACTTGCCCACCGACTTAAGGCATGATCCGATGTGCTTAGCGGTTTTCCATTTTTATCTGCTTGTTAGTTATCAGTACAGCATTGACGACGACAAGTGATTATTCATGGGTGAAATGTTGTTTACTACTCCTATTAGTTTATGCTTTCCATTTTGCTATTGTCAAGATTAATTGTTATTGCCCTTGATATTTAACTGGTGGACCCACTAATATTTTCCAAATGTACTAATTTTGCCCGTACATTCGAATGTACATTGGAATATTTAATCGATGTTGATACTTTAGAATATTAATGAATTTTATTATTTCAAGTTAGCTAAGAATAATTTTGCTGGACTCAGTATTTAATAGTGGTGATAATATACTTTAGTCGGCTTTCATAAATTAAAATATAGATTATTAAAAGTTATGTTTGTACATAAAAAAAAAGTTGTATTTATTCATCAAGAATAACTATATTTAACCATCGATGAAATATTATAATTAATCTTCAAGAATATAGTAATGATGATTTATTGATGAAATATTACATAAATACTAATTTAAACCAAAAGAAGAGGTCCATAACCATAAATTTTCATTTAATTTATAGCTATATATCTAATTTTTAACTTTTAATACAGTCCAATTTAATTAAATAAATATCAAAGAAAACAATAATAAGTGGGAGTTTAATCCTTGAGAAGGCTCATTTCTTTCTTTTATGTTTTTGAAAGCAACAGTTTGTATATGTAGGTTCTTGAAGGAATAGGTAACTCTTCTAATTAAATTTAAAAAGTAAACAGGATAGGAAAGACTGGTGAAAAAAAAAAAAATCTTTACTTTAATTTTCTATTTTGATGAGAAATTTAGCTTATGCAGCTCCATGTGCATTATTGATTCCGCGACCACTTGCTTAAATCATTGACAAGAGCTCTATCTTTATCTACTCAACTAAGCCTTATCTTTAACGAACCAAACTTGGAGTTCACTCCATTCTTAACCTGCTTTTTTGCTGTTCGATTGCCTGTCTCGAATTATATGTGGAAAATTTTCTTCTAGAAACAAACCTCCAACTCCAAGCAATTGCTACTTTCACCATTCCTTTTAATATAGCTTTAATCTTTGTGGCTTAATACAATTAATTATACAAAAAAAATGCCCTGGAGCAATTTATAAAATTTAAAGAGCAAAAAGAATTTCATCCCTTCATTTTTAAATGAGATCAAGATTTACTAATATTTATTGCTTTCCAACTTTTATCTTGAAAGATTTAAGGGCATTCTTTAAGATTAGTAGAGAAAGTAATATTTTTACTTAATGCCTTGAAACTTATAGATAAAGTTATCAAATATTGCATATAATATAAAATTATTACTATAAATAATATGTTAAGAAAATTTAATCTGAAAAAAAAAACTAATTTTAAAAAATACTTAAGGAAACTCGTTAATAAAACCCTAAATTTAATATTAAAATAAGAAAAATACGGCACAAATATAACAAATGCGATCAAAATTGATCAATTGACCTGATTTCTTTGATTAGAATATTAAGAAACAATCCCCTTAAATATTCAAAATGCAAGATTTAAATTCTCCAATTTACATATTTTGCCACATTTATAAAAAATAATATATTAGATTATTTTTTCAAAAAAAATTGTAATTTGAAAATAAAAAAATTTAAAATTTAAAATCCAAATCCTTTTGATGTTATTTTTAAAAAATATATATATATAAATCAATTAAATTAAATTTAGATACAATATATTAGACATTATTGATATATGTTTAACTCAACTCCACCTTTTTCAAAAAAAAAAAAAAAAAAACTTAACTCTTAGTCTCTACCTCACTTTATATAAAATTGGTTTAAAAGAATTAAAAAAAAAAAAAAAGAGTTTCTCATGTAAGACCGGGTGACGTCAATAAAACTTAGAAAATAATACCTTTTGGAACGGGTAAATAAAAAATTAATAAATTTTTTACATAAAAATGAAAAAGAAGTTTATAAATTTTTATTTTATTATAATTAAATCTGAAAATTCAACTTTTATTTAATTATTTTTAAATTTAATAAATATAAATTACAATAAAATAAAACGTAATAAAATATTATTAAATTATTATCGCCGAAGGAAAAAAAGCAGGTAAACTCAGGAAAGCTCCAATCCCCGACTTATATTAACTGTCACGCACTATCCTCTGTTTTCCACCAACTACTTAAACCCCAGCCTCCCCTCTTCTCTCTTCACTTCTATTCAACAATTCCTTAAACCCTTCTTTTTTATTCCTTCAAAACTTCCTTAAAACCCTTTATTTTTTTGACATATTAATTACTGCTTTTAAGCTAGCAAGGCAATCATAGCCCTGGTCAGATATATAGTTTCCTTCCTTACATTTGCTTTCAAGAAATGTGTGGCGGTGCTATCATCGCTGATTTCATCCCCCGCAACCGTGTCCGCCGCGTTACCGCTTCTGACATCTGGCCCAACTCCCCTTTCGTTAAAACCAATGGCTTTAACTCTGATCTGAGCCAACCCGACCATGATGACTCACTTTCCCACTTCAAAAGGCCCCAATGTTTACCGTCCTTGTCCTTGGGTACTACTATTTCCTTTCCTACTTTAACCCGTTTGTTTTTCATTTTCCCTTTTAAACTTTCATTTACTTCTGGTTTCTGATTGTTGAACTTTTATTTGGAACAGGTGATGATCAGGTGGAGAAGAAAGCGAAGAGGCAGAGAAAAAACCTGTACAGAGGGATAAGGCAACGGCCCTGGGGCAAATGGGCAGCAGAGATTCGTGACCCCAGAAAAGGAGTTCGTGTTTGGCTTGGCACTTTCAACACTGCAGAGGAAGCCGCCCGCGCTTATGACAGAGAAGCTCGCAAAATCCGGGGCAAGAAAGCCAAAGTTAATTTCCCCAACGAAGATGACGCTTTCTCCACCCAATATAATCTTAACAACCACTTCAACAACCATCAAATTAACAATAACCATAACTCAACTGCTGCCTTGGATCCCAGCGCCAATTCAAATGTTTCTTTTTATCAACAGCCTCGGAACAATAATCTCAGTAATTGTGGATTTAATTATGCTTCGAATGGAATTGGCCGTTATGCAACTGACCCGATTGTTATATCTGGTGAGGAAAATTCAGGGCCTGGTTCAGAAGGGGCCTGCTCTGGTGATCAGAATATCAATTTTTGTTACATTCCAGTAAAGGCAGAAGAAGAGAAACGAGAAGAGCCAGTGAATAAGGTCGTAGTGGAAGTTCAAGAAGAAAAGAACGAAGTGCAGAAACTGTCTGAGGAGCTGATGGCATACGAGAATTACATGAAATTCTATCAGATTCCTTATCTGGATGGGCAATCAACAACTCAGAATGCCGTAGCTCCGCAGGAGAGCGTTGTTGGTGAACTTTGGAGCTTTGATGATGATGATGGCGTTGCTGTTCCTGTGACATCAACGGCTATGTAACGGCGTCCGTTTGCCCTTTTTTATTTTTACTTTTAACTTAGGTTGATCTTTTGGTGGTGTAAATCGGGTGGGAATTGATGGCTTTGGGTCATTAGTTCTTACTCTTTCTTTCACCTTAATGATTGTATGGGTAGTTTTTATTTTGTAAGTTGGGACTAGATGAACTTCCATATATTTCTCAAATTTGTTTCTTTGTGTTTAAAATTATGAAATAAGATTGTACTTGAATGTTTTTCTTGCTTGTTTTCACGTCATCGATATTCTGGGAGCCATTCTGGATGGTGTAAATCGTCTGAATTTTGTTCACATAATATAAATAAATACATTTAAAATAAAATTTCCTTTCATTTACTATTTCATTGGATTAGTTTTAACTGTTGGGCCTTCTTTTAAAAGGTCAAAACAGAAGATGAGGGAGAATTTTTAGAACGCCGGAAATGGGGTGGGTCCCAAATGTCAAAAGGGAAAACTGAGAATGGAATGGAACGTGGGTGGGTGAGTTGGGCTAAAAGCCAGAGATGTTGGTAGGGAAAGAGACAGCCGGACAGGTAATCGTGTTATCCACGCTGCGGCGCTGGTGGTTTTGCGGTTACAGTTTTCAGCGTACAATCTTTGTCTGAAGAATAATGTCATTATCATGTCTACTTCTCTAGTTTCCATTGGTGACTCACGATTTGGTTGGCGCCCATAGATTGAGCTTTGGAGACTTGTACGTTTTCATCTTCTTCTTCTCTTCTATTTCCTCCCACCCTTTCCTAGATTGCCTAGTTGTTCAAGCTGTAGTACACAAACGCGCATGTACTACCCCATTCCCAACAAAATTCATTGCCAAAACATTTACTACTACTACAAGTACGTCACTGGCACTCGGCGTTACGTTCAGAGTCCGAATAACCGCGTGGCTTGCCTAACGCTGATCCAGCTTCACTGTTCACTCTTTTTTATTTAAATAATAAAATATTATTCTAAATTCCATTGTGTATTAGCTGCTTGAATATGTCAATATGTAGTATTTTTCTTTATTACGAAAGGTTAAATTATGCTATTAATATTTGTATTCAGAGAAATTTTCAAATTGTCCCTATAGTATAATTTATATAAATCATATATTTTTACAATAATAATTTATTAATTAAATCCAAATAATAACAATTATTATATTTTACACATGCTTTTTTGTAAAATGTCACTACGAATGATTAATGCACATTTGATGAACCCCCGCATCAACATATTTATGTGCAAGTTACATATTATTTATCAAATTGATTGATATTAATAAACTGTCACAATAAAATAATTCAACATATATGAATTATATTATAATGATTAAATTTTAAATTGTCTAAATATAACGATTAATTGCATAATTTAACTTTTATGAAATGTTAATATGCAATCTTGGTTGACATAAAATCATTGCTATAAGTAGTAGTAATTGTAATAATTTTTTTTTAGAAGGTGTATTATGTTACAATTATAGTCAATTATTTATAGTCAATTATAACGAATATTATATCCTCTTATCTTAGATAAATTGCCTTGGGTGGATAGCGAGAATCGAACCTACATCTTCTCCTTGGCAAAAAAAAAAATTTATTATTCGACTATATTCGCATTTTCATTCTTGATTTTTGATACGAAAGAATATTTGATCAAAACTAAGAAAATATTTTGTTTAGTTTAAGGCAATTTTATCAAATTTCACTACTAAACCAATTAACAATCTAAATTATATAACTATTCAAATTATTATAAATTAATCAAATTACAAGTTATTATCAATTATTATCAATAATTATTAATTTATATTGTTTGTTATTAATGTTATTAATATTTATTTTTATATTATTCTATTTTTAAATTTATAATTTATTTATTTTATTTGTTATATTTTATTTATTTTATTGTTATATCTTATTATTATATCTATTATTAATTATTATTATTAGTATTTATATATTTAGTATTCATATATATAATTATATATATTATTTATTTTTAAAATATTATTATTTCTATTATTTGATATTATTGTTTATAAAATTTATAATTATAATTATTATTTATATTTAATAAAAATAAATAAGATATTATATATATGTGTGTGTGTGTTTAATTTATCCACGAAGAGACGCATTAGTTTTTTCCACAAATTTTATGTGATTGTGAAAGTGAAGGCTCTGCTCCATTTTCTGTATTATAAGAAAATTCTTTGCCTTTGGACCAGGATTTTGAGTTGAGGAAAAAGTCCCCTTGAGGGATCGGGAAAAGATTATTCCTTCTTTTTCTTTTTCCATTTGTTTTTCTATTTTCCATCTTTGCGGCAATTTGTTTTTTATTAATAACAAAAGAAATCATAAAATATTCGATGATTACTAATATCTTTTCATAGTTTGTTCTTTTCTAAGTAACAATAGTCTGACTTTTTTTCATCAGAAACTAAAATAAAAAAAAATTGAATAAGAAAAAATTATAACAACTAAAAATCGAACTCCAATCTCGTTAGAAAAACCACCGTCTCACCTTTATTAAGCGTGCAAGTATAAATTTATATTTTTTTGCTTCTTTGTTAACGTCCGCAAAGTAGTTGGATAACGATCCGGGCCATCTCAGTTCTGCCTAAGCTCAGAGAAAGAATATTATTTGGTTAGTCAGCTGAAATAGCCCGTTGAGTTACAATCTCAACAAACAAGGCCCAACTTTCTTAATGGAGGGACCTAAAGCCCAATATGAAGATTACACTTTACAGAGTATAGAACCTAAAGCCCAAGATGATGGATTACGTCGTTACAGTGGGTTTAGTGCTAGTACTATTTTTGTCAGCAAAGCCAGTCATTTCGTATGCAAAAGACGGGCATCATAGGTCCGGAAATCAAACATGATCAAGTCACACTAACTCAAATTCAGTGAGAATTTATGATAAAAATTTAAAATAAAACTATACCAAAAAAAAATATTTTTAAATTAGTGTATTTATGTTTTTTACTCTTCATAAAACCTACCTTACTTTCACTCATGTAATTTCTTTTCTTTAAAAAAAATACTTACAGAATGGGTGAATAAATTATAGTTTTCGTTGATATCACTTTACTTGGCCTATTTCATCACTGTTTTCCAAATTCAAGAGGTGGTTTAATGACAATAATATACGTTAACGTGAAAGCAATTAGTAAGCTTATATTTGCAAATTCAAGTCATTTTTTTTAATTAGCCTTTGTAATTGGGTAATTCTGTTAAGTTCTATTTAACCCAAAAAAAATTGCCCTTTTTGGACTTGAAATTCTTTTTGGTTTTTATGTTTTGGACATAGCTAAGGCTAACCTAAAGCCTTCTTTCTTAAACTTCAAATGGCCCATGAAAAAATTGTTTGGGCGCTCTGGCCCATAAACGTATAACCAAAGGACACGTGTATAAATCATTCACCGCCAATATTTAAAATGCCCGAATTACAACCCGATCCAAGGCATCTCCAAATCCTAGGGTTAGTGCGGTCCCATAAAATTGCCGCTATTACTGCGTTCGTATCCTTCTCCGATTAACAGCATTTAGCTGCACACAAAAGATAGAAAGAGGGCGAGATGGTTTCGCTTAAGCTCCAGAAACGGCTCTCAGCGAGCGTTCTAAAGTGTGGAAAGGGAAAGGTTTGGCTCGATCCAAATGAAGCCAACGAGATCTCCATGGCCAATTCCCGTATGTTTTCCTCTTCTCTTTTTTAATCACTGCCTTAACTTTTATCGTTTCCGTAATCATCAGTTTTAAGTTTAGGTAAATTTGGACTTGATTTTGCATCGTTTGTTGCCAAATAAATTGGTGGAAATGAAACCCAGAGCATTTATTTTAACGAGGTTTAAGCATCTGCTAGAAAATTGAAAGCTGAGACGCTGAAGTTTCATTTATTTTTTTTTTTTTGGAAGTGAATCAATACTAGCTGCTGTATTTCACTTAAAGCTCTTTTTTTTTCTCTTGTTCTTTTTAGTGATTTATAACATTAACGGTTTTTTTTATAGTTGGCTTTGATGAGCTTTAGCATATTTACAAATCAATTTGTAATTATGCTATTATTTATTTGTTTATATGTTGGGAAAAAAGAAGAGATAATGTTTTTAACTAAAACGTGTAATGAATACTACATCAATTTGCTTGAGTTTTCCCGCTTGAGGAATTCAAGATTTCAAATTAGTATGGCTTTTTCCAATTTACGGAGTGCTACGGAAGATGTCTATTTTTTATCATTTTGCCAAATGAATAATTTACTTTAAGTGAACACAGGGTTAGTTTCTTGTTTGCTCCACTGATATATATAAAGAAAATTCTTCATGTTTCCCTAGATGTAAATTCTGAACAATTAATAGCAAGTTCAAGTTGATGTGATCTGTTGTTCATAAGAGAATATTCTATAGACTCATTCATTTTATTTTAGTTTATTTTGTTTTCAGCTTAGCACAAAATTTATTCTTTTATTACTTGATTATCATCATGTTTCATATTTGAATTGGGAATTGCAGGCCAGAACATAAGGAAGCTGGTTAAAGATGGTTTTATCATCAGGAAGCCAACCAAGATTCACTCTCGATCTCGTGCACGTCGCATGAAGGAAGCCAAGAGAAAGGGACGCCACTCTGGATATGGTATGTTTTCTTAATGTACTTTATGATTGTGAGATTTACTGGACTTGATGTTATTTATAGATGCAAAGTAGGTAGGTTGAATAACTTTGTTACATGCTCACAGATTAAGTACCATGTTTAATCAGATTATATTCTTCAATCTTGATTACTCATCTTGTTTTTGGAGGTAGGATGTCCAAAATATACTAAGAGTGATGAAATGAAGTATCGATGAGATTCCTTATCTTGTATGGAATCATTTGTTAGCCATCAGAAAATTGTGATGCATGTTGGGAAAAATATGTATGTAATGATTAGCTGGGTCTTTACTGCCATGCTGATTTTAGGTAAGCGCAAGGGTACAAGGGAGGCAAGGTTGCCTACGAAGGTCTTGTGGATGAGAAGGATGCGTGTTCTCAGACGCTTGCTTCGCAAGTATAGGGAATCAAAGAAGATTGACAAGCACATGTACCATGACATGTACATGAAAGTCAAAGGTAACGTGTTTAAGAACAAGAGAGTTCTCATGGAGAGCATCCACAAATCTAAGGCTGAGAAGGCCAGAGAGAAGACGTTGTCTGACCAGTTTGAAGCTAAGAGGGCTAAGAATAAAGCAAGCAGGGAAAGAAAAATTGCAAGGAGAGAGGAGCGTTTGGCCCAGGTAAGAACGTTTGTACCATGTGGTGCTTCTGGTGTGCGGCATAATGACATTGTTTTACCTGTTTCTTTTTTTCGTAGTGATTTTTTAGTGTAAACTATAGATGATGTTTATTGCCTTGAAATTCTGTGATCCTTTGTATAATTCGTAATTTTTTGTCATCATGGGTTGTCCATATGTTATTATCAATGACATTGACTAGATTGCTTATATTATTTATGGGTCAATTTTTCCTTCTCAAGTTATGATGTGGGTTTTATTTTTTTCCCTAATCTCCTTAGGGACCCGGAGTAGATAAGCCGGCTGCAGCTCCACCTGCAGCTGCTACTCAATCAGCTGAGTAAGTACGACTTTGAGATCATATTTCCTTTGCTATAGGATCATTGTTTAATGATATAATTTCCTCTTGCCTTTGTTGGATCTATTCAGGGTTTCTAAGAAGTCCAAGAAGTAAGATTCCCGACCGAAGATTACTGATCAACCGTAACTTTAGATATTAGTATGCCCAACTTATTTTGTCGAGCCAGTTTGCTGTTTTTGGTTAATATGAACTTGTTCTTTTTGTTGGATTAAGGTTTCATGATTTTGTTCTCAATTTACTGGTTTGTATCTTGTTTTAATTATATTATGACAATTTTATTTTCTCTATGGTTTCATTGATTTCTAAATCACCCAGTTTTATAACTTATGTGAAATGTTTGCTGCCCGCCCTTTTGGAACCAACCATGAAATTAAGATGTGGAATGTAGGTAAAAAGTGTTAAGAATTTTATTGCGATTCTGGATACTTTGGTTTTACGGTGAATCCAGACTTGATGCGAGCGTATCATTTGATCCAGCAAATGTGCAGCGTTGCACAATAAATCTGTTCTCACTGGCAGGGAAGAAAAAGGATTCTTAACGATACATATTAACTTTTGAAATTCATATTACGTGAATGACCAAATAGAAGAACATAAAGGAAAATGCCACTTCTAAATCCTATCTCGTTTAACTTTCTACCTTCATTTACACAATAGATCATCTTCAAGCTTCAGATTCGAGTGGCACTCTGTACCTTTATCCTTGAACAATACAAAAATGGAAAATTATTACACAATTCGACTTAACATAAGTTGCCTTTCTTTTTCATTGCAACATTTGCTCCCACTATCATCTAAAGACTTCTTTGGTATCGTGCATTGGATGAAGCACCACGATCGTTATCTTTTAATATTGGTTTTTGTCCAGTCAGATCTGCACTTCCATGATAAGCTCTAACGTGGGATGAAACCTGATGGACAGATGAATCACTAGGATTGTTACAGATCCCGAGTTTAATGAGGAATGTTGCTGTGCTACCTTTTCCAAGGCCCTCGCTCTCCATCCATATATGGCCTCCCATCAGATTTACAAACCTAATTCAACATTTGAACAAGGTATAAGCCATCTAGATTCGGCTGAATGTGGTAGCTAGTTAATCAATACTTTCAAAAGCTTGAGAGTACATGATGAATAGTCTTATAGCAAGTTGGCAAACATTATTTTGATTGCTACTGTGAATGGTTCGATTATAAGGGTAAAGACCAAATATTTTCTGTGCGAAGGAATTCAGAATTTCTAGTTTTACCTTTTACAAATAGCAAGTCCAAGTCCAGCACCTCCATTATTTCGACCGGATCCACTACGTGGCTGTGCAAATTTGGTAAAAAGAATTGGTATATCTTGTGGGAGAACACCACAACCAGAATCCTTAACCTGCCAGATTAGATAGTAGGAAATCAACAAGGACATCATATAACAGCTAGTAAAGCTCCAGATAATCTCCATAACAAGAATGCATGGATGGTAATTCATTGGATTGTACATCATAAACAAACACTAGGAGATGCCTTCAATTGGAAATCCTAAATAGCATAATTTGAATGTGAAATTAAAGCATTAGATACCCAATAGACAATCAGGAGATGCCTTCAAAATTAAAAACTACAGTCATCTTTAAATTGCCAGGAGAAGCCTTCAACATCATATTGCAAAACTTAAATAGATGTATACCAAAATGAAATAAATGAAACAGTCAAGAACCTGCACTCGTAAGTAGAAGTGGCCTTGACTTGACACTGGGTAAAATTCTGGAGGTTGCCAGTCTCTTAAAGACTCTGGTTTTGCAACAGTAGCTATAATTGAAACATAACCCTCCTTTGTGAACTTCACAGCATTACCCGCGACATTTAAAATAGTTTGCATAAGCCGTTTCTCATCCCCAACAGCATACATTGGCAAATCAGGTGCCAGGATCATAGTCATAGATAGCTTCTTTACAGATGCAATGGGCTTTATCAGATTAATGACCTAAAATTATAAAAATATCAACATTATACCAAAATTGAACTGCAAAGGCTAAATTATTTCCATTTGTATGATAAAAAAGCACAAAATCACAATTAGCTACCTCTTTGAAGATTCCGTGAAGATCAAACATTCCAACATCTAATTCTAAGCTGCCATCTTCAAGTCTAGAAAGATCCAGAACATCATTGATTAGTGTTGCCAAAAGGTTGCTACTCTTTAGCACTGTCTCAATCATAACTCTTTGTTCCGGAGTTAGATCAGTCTCTAAAAGAAGTGAGCACAATGCAATAATTGCATGCATTGGTGTGCGCATCTCATGGTTCATTACAGCAAGGAAATCATTCCGTGCATGAATTGCCTTCTCAGCCTCTCGACGAGCCAAGTCTAAATCAACATTTTGTTCCATGAGCTGATCACGGGCCCGCATGGATTCCTCCAGAATAGCGGCATGAGAAAGAGCAACAGCAACCTGTATAAATATTACCATGAGCTCAGCGCTTGAGTCAAGTTAAAAATCAAAGTCTCTTAATTAGTAAATAATATTTTCCAACTACACTAAGGAGGAAGAAGATCAAGTCCGGTCATTATAGCTTTTCAAAAGTAAATTCAAAACCTTATAGCCAAGTACATAATTAAAACTTAAGGTAAGCATATCATTAAGACATCATAGAAGCAGCCAATGAAAGAAAGCGCATGAATCATAAGATGACCTGGTCTGCCACAACTTCGACAAGTTCCAATTCATGGTCTCGCCATTTTCTGGCACTGTTAGTGGGGAGAATAAGAACCATGATTGCATAGCTTTTTGCAGAGAGATCAGGCCAGTCGTTAATTTGGAAATTTGAGAGATGTAAAAGAGGTACCCGAACAGCAACAACCTCTGGTGGCACATATCTTCCCACTAGAGGTCTGATCCTAGCTAGCGGGCAGGTATAGGGTATACGCACTGCTCGAGCACTATTGAAGACTTCGTTGACCAAAGGAAGATTTATTGGCACAGTAGATCCAACTTGTATTTTGTAGTTTAGAGTATGGGAAAGTTGCAGATTAATACCAGTCCTTGATGGCATCCACAAGGCACATTCCTCCAGGCCCAAGGTCCTACCCAACTCAACAAGGGTAGTCTTCAATATTGTATGCCTGTCAAGTGTGCTTCTGATTTCATGAGTTAACATCCTTACATGCCTTCCAGTTTCTTCTTGAGTGAGAATGAGGCCCATTTCCCTGTCAAGCTCTTCGGCTTTGTTCCTCAGAAATAATTCCCGAGTTTTAACACTCAACAGGTCAGGAATAATGTGTACAAGCATCAAAGCAGTTGCACATGATACAATAGCACATGCAACCTTCGCAATGGTCATGACCACAGCAACAGCTTTAGAATGCATAGTGAATGTCCATAAGTTTATAAAGTGTGTCGCTCCACAAAGAATGATAAAAGCACCAAATTGCATAAGCACCCATCGGTACGGGAAGAAAGCAGATTTTTGAACAAAATAAATAAGCTCTAGGGGAATTGAGAAATAAGCAAGGGCGATTAAAACATCTGATATATACTGATACTTAACCAGCAATTCTTCAGCTGGCCATTGCGAGTCAATACAATCACAAGTCTCCATTATGTGACAACAACCGCGCTAAATCTGACAAAAATCAAGAAAACGGGTTATAACTTCCAATTCAATAAAGTAAAATGTGAAACTTCTTCGGGTCACAGATATCCATTAGGATGTTTTTCCAAATTTATATATATCCACATTTGACAGAATATTGAGCCACATTAGTAGAAAAAACCGATGATCTGATGAGATTCCATTAGAACTTTTTTATTTTCCTATAAAAACATTAGTATAAAATCCTATTACGACTTTTTTCTTATTATTAATAGTATGAAAATGATATACTTTTGTCTACAAATATTCTCCGTCATCTTCTCCATCTTTATACATTCACAAAAAAAAAAAAAAAGGAAGAAAGAAAATATAAAGCCAGGGAACAATTGAACATTTGCCTCTTCGAAGAGAATTTGTTCTTAAAAGTGTTTCTAAAAGTTGACATAGCTAATCAGTAATCAAATCGCTAAATTAATGATAAGAAATGAAACTTATCTTTCTGGAGAAAAATATTATATTTTCCATGAAAATATTTTCCCTCGAACCAAACACAGCTTAAGAAACAGAAACCACTCAAACCACGCAGAAAAAAAGAAAAGAACAAGAACAAGAACAAGAACAAGAACAAGAACAAGAAAAAGAAAAAGAAAAAGAAAGAAGAAGCATAAAACAATTTAGCATGGAACTCATTAGCCAGGACTTATTATAATCAAAACATAATTTATCTTAAATAAAAAAATTTAAATCTCAAAGATTTAATGTACAGAGAAATATAGATTAAGAAAAATAAGAAGAAAAATAATAGAAATGTAAATGGATTACCAAGGCAAGGCTAGTGAAGAGAGAAGAGGAGGATGGACGGCCAAAAATTAGTTGCAGAAGTCAGACGCGTGATCCAAGGCGTCCATTTTACGAAAGAGAGGGAAAGAGAGCTCTCCCTTTTCCTCTTGAGCTTCTTCGATTGAAGTTGAGTTGTTAAAATTGCAGCTGAGAAAGAAGAAACCGTAAAAATGAAAAGGGCAGGGAGGCGGACATATGAGTAAAGTGGAGGAAGGCAAAACAAAAGGCTTCACGGATAAGAGAAGGCGACACACGAATTCAATGGGAGGTTTTGCACGTGCAGAAACTGACTTGGATTTTCTTCTCAGTATTTTATTTACTTTTAAGATCCTCCTCTCACGTGTGAGTTCATTTTGATGATGAGTCGTCCATATTGGATTGAATCTCGAAGGGGCTGATTTGTTTTAATTCATTATTTTATCTTTAATCTTAACTCCAAACCAAAATCCCCTAATCATTAAAAATCTAATTAATACAGATATCATTAGAATCAATGCACAATTGATTCTTAAAAAAGTTGATCTTTATATAAGATAAGTGGGCGGGGGATTATTGGTTATATATTTATATTACATTCTTATTTAATTTGATAAAAAAGAAGTTGGATTTAGAGACATGAATGATTCATTAGTATTTACAAATTATTCAGATTTAATTTGAATAAAATTTGAATTCAATTCGATTATAATTCGAGTTCGAACTCGAGTAATTTGACTTTTCGATCGAGTTAAGTTCGAATATTTTTATACTCGATTCGAGTATCTTATGAATTTAATCAAATTTTTATATTTAAATATATTTTATTATTTTAATTAATAAAATATATTAAATTCGAACTTGAGTAATATGATTTTTATCTTGAGTCAAACTTGAGTCAAATTTTGAGCTCGAATTTCGAATCAAGCTCAAATTCGAATTTAATACTATATCAATTCAAACTCGATCAATTATATCTCTAATTGAACCCAATTTTAAAAATAAAATAAAATTATGGTACGCTATTTTAGGGCTAATATCTATGCAATTTGCATGATTGAATCTTACACTAGTATTTTACATGAATGAAATTTACTTAATTGAATTGCAAAACAATAAATAATTATAAACATTTTGGATAAAATTGTAAACATCATTATTTTAATTATTTTTTTCTTTTTTTTTTTCATTTTCTTTTTTTTCTCTTTTTTCTTTCTTTTTTCTTTTCTTCTTTCTTTTTCCTTCTTTTTCTTCCTTATCCAATTCAAGTTAACTAAGAATGAGTGAATTAAATGCACTCTCCTTAAAATCTAAAATCGCCACCGACAGCCCCCAACACTAGCCGACACGTGAATATCAGCTTATTACGCCAGTTGAAAAAATGAGACTCGAATCCCTGAAGATCTGGGATTTGAATCCCAACAAGCCCTATAAATAGAGCTTGTAACATGTGAAAAAATGATGAGGGAATCGAAAAAAAGGCAAAGAAAAAAATTAAAAAAAAAGCTTTCTGTAAAAAAAAATAATGCCATTTTGCAGAAACAAAAAATGGTAGAAACAATCCCCTAGAAAGGGGAACCCAGCGCTGGAGAAGCTACCTACAAAAAAATTAGTTTTAGTTAAAAAAATTGAAAGTTTGAGCCCCGATCTACGCTTATCAGGGCTGTTTCTGATAAAAATAAGATCGGATCTAGAACGAAAACGAAAAAAAGAAGCTTTTGAGAGATTATGAATTTTTTTGACCACCGACAACGATGATCGGTGACCGACGAAAGGTGGCGATGACGGCAACGGCGAAGGCGCGACTGGCCGACAATTTTTTTTTTGGCTGAGTAAAAAAAAGGTTTTTTTTTTTTTGCTAAAGGAAAAGAATGAATGAAATTTTTTTTTTGACTTTTATATAGAAGATTAAACCCAAAACAACGTCATTTCAATAATGCCCAAAACGACGTCGTTTTGAGACCTGAGGATCCGTGCATCAACTCGTAACTCAATCCGAGATTCGAGCAACTGATCTGATGATCCGTTCTTCTTTTGACCTGATCGATCCATCTAAATCGGATTAGATCGAACCGGACCGTGCACGAATCGCTGAATCGACCCAAACTGAACCGCTGACGTCGAACAGATCGAACCGGTCCAGACTCGCATTGACGAATCGTTGATCGGTCCGATTCAGGTAAAAAAAATTTTTTTTTAAAGATTTTTTTATATATATTATTTTTGTTATTTTAATTATTATTATTGATATTTATGCATGTAAAAATGTTTAAATTTACCAAAATAATTTTTTATTGTTTGATAATATTAATTAATAATATAAAATTGATAAAAAAATAAGAAAAAGAAATTTTATCTAACAATGAGATTCAAAGGTATTCCGAGTAGTGATGCCTATGAAATCTCTAGGTGATAAAATTTTTTAAAAATACTACCAGTGTATTGGAGTATTTATAAAAAAAATTTTCAATACAATAAAAATTTTCTTTTTTTTTAAGTAATAAATAAAAATTGATTAATAAATTAAAAAATATAAGTAATAAAAATGAGAAGAAAAGAAATTTTATCCGATGATGAGATTCTAAGAGTATTCCGAGTAGAGATGCTTTAAGAAATCCCTAGGTGGAAGATTTTTTGTAAAATATTACCTGAGTATTGAAATATTTATAGAAAATCTTCAATATAATTAAATTTTTTTTTCTTCAAAATTTTAATTAAAAATAAATATTAATAAAATAATTAATAAAATTTCTAACAAAGGAGAATAAAATGTGTGCATAAACGTGGTAACATTTTACATTACATACATGACATTTTTTTACGAAAAGTAAATTCGAGCTTCCGATGATGAGATTCATAGGTATTCCGAAAAGCGATGCCTAAAAAATTTTTAGATGAGAAAAAGTTCTTCTAATATTACTGACGTATTGAAACATTTTAAGAATTATTTCAATAAAAAGATTTTAATTCATTTTTCTCAAGAATAAAAAATTTTTTCTAATAAAAAAATCAAGAAAAATTATTTTTAAATACTGAAAATTAGATTATTTTTATCAAAATCAAAGGATAACACGTAGTTAATTGGTACCAGTTTTTTAGGACGTTGTAGGGGTGCTAATCCTTTCCCACGCGTAACTGACTCCTGAACCCAAATTGTTTTGCAGACCATAAAATTATCTTTTTAATAAATTTTAATTAATTTTAAAACTTTATTAAAAGAATATGTTTTAATAGGTAGCCAATCGCACCTAACCAAAAAAGATTGGTGGCGACTCCGTTATTTTTTATTTCGTTTTCAAATTCGTCGGACGAACATAAAATCGTTACGACAGCTTTCGACTCCACTGGAGAGATATTTGTTTTTAAGAGTCAGGCTAAAATTAACTATGTGTTATCCTAAAATTTTGATTTAAACAGTCATAATTGATTTTTTATATTTTTATTTTTCATTTTCAACAAAAAAAAGTAAAAAAAAAATCAAAAATAAAAACAAAAGTTTACACACATTTCTTTTACTATGTTTTTTTTATACTTTATTTTATATATTACTCTCAATAAATTAGGATACATTTACACACATAAGGACGTGCTGTATCTCATGCATGAGTTCTATTCCCGAGCTCTGTCCCTTATAGGAGGAAGTAAAGTACCTATGCCTTCATGAAGTGATAACCTCCGTAATGACAAACAAAATACTTCCACTCAAATTGAACATTTTCCGTTCATAGCCTGTAATAGGTGAAGATCGGGGTCCCTTACTAGTCCAGCGTGGATGACAGTGAGAAATAATTTGAGAACCTTTAGACACGTGTCAATCCAAACCCAGCATGTAATAAGCCTAGGAAACCAACCTTAGGTACAACCTCATCTACATTTTTGTCGAAAATACCTAAGAATAAAAGTTGTGTGTAATACAAAACAAAACAAAAAAAATCTCAAAAAAATTTTTTTTTCAAACCCCATCCTCACAATAACTTAAATTTATTTTTTTACATAAATCATATCATATAGTTTTGTATCGAGATATTTGCTCTATGACATATTTCTTCCTAAAAAATTTTCATAGATCCTGTAAAACTTTAGATTTGTTCATCCTCAATCAGTGTCATATGTGAGCCGTATAATGAAGTATATGTTTGATTAAAAAAAACCTAACAAAATAATGAAGATTGTTTGCCTATCAGTTATGTGTCAAAGTTATCCAAAAAAGTACATTTAGATCTCACACAGAATGATTTAGAAGATTTAGCTACTATCTGGGGATAATTAAATGAAGAAAGAAAAAAAAACTTTTGTTAAAAGTATAGACAGATTACATCTATCATTTTAATAGTGATCGATGAATAGTTGGTCAAGACAGCTATACAATTTTGGGATCCATCCTATAGATGCTTCACTTTTAATCAAACAGATTTGATGCCAACTATTGAAGAGTATTTGATTTTACTCAGGATAAAACTATAGTGTCCAGATATAGTATTCACCCGAAAGCCAAAATCAGGTTATTACAAAAAGTTGGCCAAGCTTATACGGGTTAAAGTGGAAACCATTGATTCCTTTACGAAGCCTAAAGGTCGGCATTCATCAGGATTTTCTTTGAAACTTCATTCAGGAGCATTTAAATGATGATAAAGGTATGGCTGTGTTTGCTTTATCATTGTATGACATGGTAATCTTTTCAAAGACTTTGGGTTACATTGAGATAATTGTGATGAATTTTTTCGAGCAAATTGAAACCTAAGTAATTAATCTCGTACCAGTAATCTTAGCAAAAACTATTCGATCATTGAATTTTTGTCTATGAAATGGAAATGGACGATTCATAAGATGTGCACCGTTATTATATGTGTAGGTTAGAAGTCATTTTAAATACGAGAAGAGTGTATTTTCAAAATCGTATCTATGAAATAAAGCACCAATTGAAAAGTTCTACAAGAGTCAATGGCCAACATTGAAGATTAAGAATGAGTGGGTCCTTTTCTTACGAAAGATTACCGATGATGAAATTAAATGGATGGCACCTTGGATGCCTCGAGTGCCTTTATTGTATCATGGTAAAAATGAGTCGTGGATACCGTTGTTAGGATTATAGGATATTGTAAGTTATGCTCCGTTGATGGTGCTTAGGCAATTTGGTGTAAAATAGTTTGTTCCTGCCACTCATGGTTTAGCTCAAGTGGAGTTCATTTATGGAGAACTAAATTCACCAAGAACCTCAAAGCAATTAATCCAAGCATGGAAGAAAACATGAAGAATAAGATTAGAGCTTCTCATCGATAAAGTCACTTTTGATTAT